CTGCCCCCATACCCTTTTTGCACTTCCCTTTGGGATTAAGACCTCCAGACCAACAGAGCATAGGGTCACAGGGACAGGAAGTGAAATTTTTATGAGTGGGTCCACCCCTCGGTTCCTGGACTCATGAATCCTGGCTGTTGGGGAAATACCACCATATACTGGCCAGTGGTTTAGAGCATATACAGCCTCCTGGAGAATACTGCCCCAACCCTGCAAGATATTGCCACTTAGCTGGCATTGTAATTGTGTCTTTAGAAAGCCATTCCATTGTTCTGTCAAGCCAGCTACTTCAGGATAATGGGGAACATGGGAAGACCAGTGAATTCCATGAGCATGGGCCCACTGTCACACTTCATTTGCTGTGAAGTGAGTCCTTTGATCCAAGGTGATGCTGTATGGGAAATCATGATGGAGGATAAGGCATTCTGTAAGTCCACAGATGGTAGTTTTGGCAGAAACATTGTGTGCCAGGAAGGCAAATCCATATCCAGAGTAAGTACTGATTCCAGTAAGAACAAAATGCTGTCCTTCCCGGCACTGATGGAAGTGGTCCAGTGTGATCAACCTGCCACCAGGTTGCTGGCTGATTGCCCTGAGGAATGGTTCCATATCATGGACTCAGTGTTGCTCTATGCTGCTGGCAGATTGGGCACTCAGCAGTGGCTGCAGCCAAGTTAGCCTTGGTGAGAGAAAGTCCATGTTGCTAACCTCCATCCCTACCACCATGGCCACTTTGTTCATGAGCTCTTTGGGCAATGACAGGATTGTTTGGGGAAAGAGAATGACTTGGTTTACACAGAATGTGGCATGCTGTCCACTTGATTGTTAAAATTCTCCTCTGCTGAGGTCACCCTTTGGTGAGTATTCACATGGGACAAATATCTTCACTTCTTTGGCCCATTCAGAGAGGGCTATCCACATATCTCTTCTCCAAACTCTTTGTCACCAATTTTCTAATCATGCTCCTTCCAAGTCCCTGACCATCCAGGCAACCCATCATCACAGCCCATGAATCAGTATACAATTGCACATCTAGCCATTGCTCCTTCCAAGCAAAGTGAACAACCAGATGCACTGCTCAAAGTTTTGCCCATTGGGAAGATTTCCCTCACCACTGTCCTCCAGGGAGGTCCCAGGAAGGGGCTGCAGTGTTGCTGCTGTCCACTTTTGAATGGTGCCTGCATATCACACAGAAACCAGGAAGGAATTTTCTCTTCCTCTGTCAGGTGATCATAAGGAACTCTCCATGAGGACATAAGTACAGACTGGAAAAGGGAAGGTAATGTGACTGGAGTGAAGACCATTTGGGCCACTTCTTCATGCAACTTACTTATGCCTTCAGATCCTGCTCGAGCCCAATCTCTTACATACCACTTCCATTTAATGATAGAGTGTTGCTGTGCACGTCCAACTTTATGACTTTGTGGGTCAGGCAGTTCATGATGGGCAGTTCAAGCCACATGGTGACTTGGTGGCCCATGGCTAGGCATTCAGTCTCTACTAAGGTCCAGCAACAAGTCAAAAGCTGTTTCTCAAAAGGAGAGTAGTTATCTGCAGGGGATGGCAGGGCTTTGTTCCAAAATCCTAAGGGTCTGTGCTGTGATTCACCAATAGGGCCTTGCCAAAGTCTCCAAATAGCATCTCTGTCTGCCACTGACACTTCAAGCACCATTGGATCAGCTGGATCATATGGCCCGAGTGGCACAGCAGCTTGCCTGAACCTGTTGCAGAGCCTTCTCTTGTTCTAGGTCCCACTCAAAACTAGAAGCTTTTCAAGTCACTTGATAAATAGGCTAGAGTAGCACACTCAAATGAGGGATATGTTGTCTCCAAAATCCAGGGGCCCAACAGGCACTGTACCTCCTTTTTAGTTGTGTGTGGGGGGAAGATGCAATAACTTATCCTTCACTTTAGAAGGAATATCTTGACATGCCCCACACCTCTAGACTCCTAGAAATTTCACTGAGGTGAAAGGTACCTGAATTTTATTTAGGCTAATTTCCAGTCCTCTAGTATGCAAATGTCTTACCAATAAATCTAGAGTTACTGACTTTCCTGATTATCCAACTATATGTCCCCATC